GGGGGGGGGGGGGGGGGGACGCGTTCCGACCGCTCGTGAGTTTTTGTAGCGTTTTTCTGAACCTCGGCGGGCGCCTGATTTGTTTTGGGTGTGTGGCACTGTAACTCAGTATATATTTCGAATTCGAAATTTTTGACGCCGCATTCGTTTTCTCCACCCCAAAATTACCTTGACCTGAAAATTTCAGATCGATCGGAGCACTTTTCAAACCCGGGGATATTTAGCGGCCATCCCCGGGTTTTGCGTTTTCATTTTTTAGCCGCCTGATATAGGTAAAGTGTGTTGAAACCCGGGTAAGATGAACGAGTTTGATTTTCAAATTTTGCACAGCATCATCATTATGGCCAAGGATCATGGGATAATTTTTTCGAAGACAGGGGGGGGGATGGTGACGATCCGTTCCCCCCCCCCCCCAAATAAATTCGGCTTTAGCTCGGAACCCGCCCTGGGCGAGAGCTGAGGGTTGTTTGGTTTCGGCGGCACCAAGGTCGGCACCTGGTGGTGGTACGTAGAAGGTACCTGGGTGTACCTCGGCGCTCCAACGTTTCTGTTCTGCTTTGGAGGATGCGTTGATGTTGGTGAGTGACTGGACATCGATCACTCTGACGACCAGAGTGTGTACCGTGAAGTCTGTCGTACGTCGTGACGTGGCCTCGCTGCTGTTGCCGTTTGTCTGTGCGTATGATGAGCTTCGTACGCGCGATGGGGACGTGAAGGGGGTGAGTGGTTAAGTTTGGGCAAGGTAGTTTTTAGCGTGGGTGACTACTTGGGAAGTTGGAAGCGTCGACATCTGTTTTCTCCTGCCTGTTAATTCGGAGAGCACCGACCATCTCGGGTCGATTGCTGTTGCTTGGAGGCTCTTCTTGGTGGCCAAGTAAGATCCTGCTTTGTGCCGCATGGCCGAAGGCGGTTTCACCTCCCGTTTGCAAATTGTATGCTGTGGCGCGATGCTCCTTGCCGTGCAGGCTTAAGAAGAAAGGCACCTCGCACGTGCGGGGGATTCCATCCGCCGCGCTCAGCTGCTGAAGCGGCATCGTCTGCACGAAACAACTGGTCGCAAGGGTGACACAAAAAAAATCTCCTAGTATCGTTGTGTCCTTCACCAGCGACTGCGCCGAATGCAGTTGGAACACATGGTACACCACACATTGGCAGTCCCCCCCTCCCCCCCTCCCCCCCC